TCTTTGAACATAGCTGCCTTGCCAAATACAAATTGAAAGAACTTAAATGATTGTAAGTTATTCTCTTTTTTTGTTTTTGTTTTTGTTTTGTTTTTTAAAGTTATATCACGTTTTGAAAATCAGATAAATCTGGATAGCGAAGTAGATATATATCTTCCTTCAGGATTATCAAGAAGCAAACTAGACTTAACATGATGAAATAGTTAATACAATTCGTTAGTCATAGCACTATAGAAAGTTTAGGGACTATATACATTTGTATGTGTAAACTCAGTTGTTGTTGCTTGCCTATATGCTACTTAAAAACTAACAGATTAATTGAGGTGGAAAAGAACAATTGTGAATTCAATTAAATTGTCATATGTGAAAATAGAAAACCTCTTGTCCTATCCAGAAAACTATCAGGCATTGTTATCAGGGACCTATCGATAATAAAACGTTTGCATATGACTGTTCGTCTTTTTTAGAATGTAGGTTTCCTAGATATCACCGTCACAGAGTAAGGTTCCGTCTTTATGATTTTAAATTTTTCTCACTTAACACTTCTTGGGATACAAGTTCAACAATGAGGCAAATGTTTTTAAAGCACTGTCAATGTTACACACATTGAGCTTATGATAACGTCATCGTCTCGATTCATTAACTTTTGTGAATTTGCTCTTTCAAACCATAGGTGTTCGGCGCGTTTATTGGTCACTGGTACCGCGCCCCCCCCCCCCCCCATCATCCACTCTACAACCCTCCTACCTCTCAAAACCACGTGAAATGTAGTATTTTTCATTTGAAACATGTTTTAATATTTGGTATATGCTTTTAATTCAATAACTTTTATTTCCTACAAAATACAAAAAAATGATACATTTAGTAAAGGTATGCAACTCGCCGCTCATTTTCAGCACTCATCTTAATATGAACTATATAACTCCAACATTTTTTTCACCAATTTTCAATATATTGGTACCAAATGGTAGAAAATTGATTACTCTTAAAGGATACAAAGTGTCATTACAATCATTTCAAGTTATAAGAAGATATGTAATCTCGAAGACATCGCAAGTGTAACTCGACAGAGACCTGACCGCTGAGTTTTTGTCAAAATTACCCGATTAATCGGCAGTTTATTCAAAATGAATGAATTTTTTTTTGTATTGCGCATATAAATATGATAAAATTATATTATTATTTGTCATAACTGTTCAATCAAAACATCATATTAAACTGTAACAAACCGTTTACAAGATGTATTACAAGAAGAGGTAGCAGAAAAAAGGAAGACAAAGGGACAATTTTATTAATGATTTCAAACTTGGTAAGGTTCTGGAAAGAGTATTGTGCTTTGTGTTTTATTCTATCGATCATCATGAAGAGATATCAAGCATGTTTGTATTTTATTAAATGAGTCATTACAGGAATTGATCAAGACTAACAGAGAAGTTCTTTGAGTGGTCAATGAACAATTAAATCTTCGGTTTCCAATCGTTGATGAAATAATGCGATGTATTACATAAAGCTGTGTTGGCCTTTTCTTTCTGACTACCAACGTTTGTCAAAGTCAATGATGTGAAATGTTACTTCGAGAAACCTACGAATTACACAAACCAATTATTCTTATTTTAAACAAGAAATTGACTTTGAAATAATGTTTAAAATCTATAGACAATATTCCCGAGCTAAGATTAATATTAAAGATGGTCAGATACAAATGATACTAAATTTCAACCAATTATCAAATTCCATTTTAATGATAGCGTCATCCCAATATTGTAAAGGTATTTGGTTATATAAGAATTTTTTTTAAAGGAAAACAAATTCGGTAAGATAAAAAAATCCTGTTTCTTTTTACAAGTGTTTCAATTTGATGTTTTCTTCTATTTATTTGTATGATACGTCTAATCAAAAATACGATATTGTTACTGTTATCAGTAAACATATTATCTTTGGTACTAACAGTTTATAGTATTTATGTGAGCAAGAACGTTTTTCGTTATATTTGTTTCATACATTTTGGTTGTCCTTTTTGCGTTTTTATTAATGTGTAGTTAGTTGTGTTAATAAAAATACATTCTCCTGCCCTATTTGGCGATTTCATCATATTAAAATTTGAATAAAGTAACACTTCTGCAATAAAAAAATAATTAAAATGGTACAATAATTTCTTGTTTTCTTCAAATGACCGAAGGTTTTACTGAACGTTCGTAATGTATAACATTTTTACTGCGTTATGGACATATTAAAAATGTATAATTTACTTTCTTGAAACTTTATAAATTGATATATTACATATAATTAAGGTATAGTGCTATTAATTGGATCATAACTTTCGTTCGCATTTTTAAGTTCTTGCCCTGTTTATTTTCTCTCAAACCTATTCATGTACTATGCTCATCCTTGACTTATTTTAATTACAAACATCTATTGAAATCCATAAGATTCTCACTGAATATGTCTAATATGAATAAAAGAAAGTATAATAAACTATATATGGGAACCATAATACAGGTCAAGTTAACTTGTTTTTTTTCCTTGAGGAAAACTGCCAGTTTGTTAAATGACACTTTATACTCATATTGTGTGCATCTATTAATTTATAGTATTATTAACATGACATATCTTCTTTGTGAGAAGTCGATACATGTTTATTTAATACTAACAAAGATACTTTGTAGCAATTTTCAATATTTTTTAATATCAAATTTGAGTATAGTGTAACTCTTAAGTATTGTAGAAATCAATGTGGCATTTCATAGTTTTATTTAGCTTATAAATGAGAAACACAAGTTTTAGGATTGTGGAGTTATTGGTCCTTTCAGATTGAAGATGTAGGAGATATCATATTGTAACCTCATGCCTTGACATTCATGTATCTCATAATGGGCGAAAAAAATTGTCCATGAACCATGATTCTCTTTTATATAATTTAAGAGTTTGCTTCAGAGTGTTATTCCTTGATCTACTAAGATAAATTAAAATAACAACTTAATTAATTACATTTGAATCTCGATATTGAAATTTCCTTATTTTATAAATATACTTTAAATGAATAATCATATATGATATTATAAGTACATTTCTGAATGTAATTATACTGTTAAAGGATAAGTCCATTTGATTAACACTGATCATTTTAAAATTTGTGGTCTTTTGTAAAATAATTCTTATGCTGTGAGATACATAATATTAAGAAGTGTCAGAAAAATAATTTTAATCATTAGACTGGGGATATCGATTCAACGAATAAGCTTGATGATTAAATATGGTTGTACAAATATAAAATTCATTAGAGGAAAAATGCAACTGCCATTACCATTTATTTTTTATTATTGAAAACCGTACAAAAAGTGCATATCTTAAGCAAATTATGCAACAAAAGTATCACAATGAATATAACAAGAAAAGCATTGATGCAAATCATCAAAGGCGACGCCAAAAAATTTGATAAAGTTTTGCACCTAAATACTTAACAAAAGATGTGTACTTTATAGCAGTACCAGTACATGTGACCTGGAGGCTAGGCCCAGTTTAAGTTGAAACTTAAACCAAAAGGGATAGACCCTGTCTTGCCAAGATGTAAAGACAATTTTTAGTCAATAAACAAATCACTAATAAGAGTCATGCCATAAGAGAGAATTTCTTCAGATTTATTTTACCAGAAACAATATACCTGGGTCATCAGCATATAATAAAAGCTTATTGCTTAGGATTGCAGACATGTCATTGACATATATAAGACATAAAAGAGGACCTAAAATGACCCTCAGGGGAACACGATAGGTACTCGGAGCAGTAGTAGAATGAGTACCAGCCACATCCACCAGCTGCTGTCCATCAGAAATAAGACTTGAACCATGTAAGAATGTCATTACCTATGGCAGATGCTAGAAGTTTCAGAAGAAGAACTTCTTCATGTGCAGTAAAGTGTGATCAACTGTATCAATTGCCTTTTGTTGATCTAAAAGTATCACGCATACAATACTGCCTTTGTCCATTTCAAATTAAATACAACCTGTTAAATGAATCAAACATGTGTCAGTTGAAAAACCACGTCTAAACCTTGACTGAAACTGCTTGACCATGAGTCGAACCCATGACTGTTAGAAGATCAACTGAGCTAGCTATCCGGCCGGCTACACATTTCCTCTTTAATAATGAACAGTTCTAAACCACAACGTATTCCCCCACTATATTGATTTGTGTCCTTGAATTTCTGATGTGTACAGAGCATAGTGAATTAAACTCAGGGTTATATTCAGTCACAGGATGAGAAATTTTCAGCTTGACCTGAAGTCGAATGTGTGACCCACAGAATAATGTAACGCGGCTGTAGCGATTGAGCTATCTGGCCGCTTAAATATTGTCTCCCCTTCATAGTGAACAGTTCTTAACTTGACAGATACTTTTTCTATTTTTTAATTAACAGGTAGATTAATTCTTAATTAAACAAATAAGAAAAAACTTACATACTCATAGTCTTAAAGAAAATAACAAGTTATATATTGTATAATTATTTTACTAAAAAACGGCTAATACATTTATTGGTTGTGCCATTATCTGTAACAGGTCAATTTGAAAGTGAACATAACTGTACTAATACATGTACAATATCTTTCTTTTGTAGATAAGAAACTAACCTTTTTTCTTTGATAAGACATTTTATGGGGGCTGATTAGTATTTTGCATCAGGGGGCACCGGGCGAAAACATGAAAATACAACAAGATTGTATCTTCATGTTTTCATCTGGCGCCCGGTAACTTTTTGTACTTTGTCGGTTTTCATGTGGCACAAATCACCCACTATAAAATTTAGTGCACAAATTTATTCAAGTGCAAGTAACAATCTACTCTATGGAAAGTCTGTAGTTGGGTTGACTCTGGAAACCTGGAGGTTGAGACCGGTGTCCCTCAATTACAAATAGATAAGACAGAAGCTGTCCTTTTCAAACTATGCACATGTTAGAAAAAATAGAATAACAATTCAGAATATGATTTTTTGAGACTATATTGCTAGATCCAAATTTAAGGACATTTTCTTCCCTTAAAGGACCAGTAATGACCTACTTACACAGAGAGTGTGGAATATATGTCTATATTGCCATGCAACTGTCCGGTGGAATTGCACCATGGACCCTGCCATCACTAGTTATGGACACTAATTAACCTCAATTCTGGATAGGTCATTATGTAGCCTGCCAAATCTCACAAGTGCAGAAGATAAACCACAACATCCAGGCTAAGATTCCTTTAACTGTATAATAGATATTATTATTAGCCAGCTAACAATGGTATAAACCTTTAACCTGTATACTTATCAATACATGTATTATCATTTAAAACTTTAAATGAAAGTCCTCCATCAATTTAATAATAATGTCATAACTGTAACTCTTTAAATACAGAAATATTAAAAGTCTTATCATATCCATATACTAAGATATACATGTATGCACATAACATTAACAATTCCCAGTTTCTATTGAATAAATATGAAATCCTTACATCAACATTTACGTTGGTAATAATGGATGGAATTCAAAATCTTGTAGAAAGAAAACTATCATTAATGTATAAACTTTATTATAGATACTATTTATAGCCAGACAACACTTGGTATATACACATATAACCTGTAGACCAATCAAAACCTGTATAATCATTCAATATAAATTCAAATGCTGGGCTGCGTTTCATGGAGAGTCCTAAGTCTTAAGTTTGTCTTAAGTAAAAAATTGTGACAATTTTGCGTTTCAAAGAAAGTCTTAAAAAAGGTCCTAACTTAGGACTCCTAAATTTATGACCAAAAACAGTCCTAAGTCTAGGAGTGTTTAAAAGGTATCCTAAGATTGTCCTAAGTCAAAACCACTCCAAAATCAAACAATTTTTTGTTGAATTTTGTTTTGAAAACTATCTAGAATGATAGATAATGGTCTAACTAAGAAAATAAATCCGAACACCAATATCTTTAATTCAGTCATTAACGCTGTACAGACGTTTAAAGGGTTGTTTACATGACGTCACAATGTAGCGCCAAATATCGCGTGCAAAACAAGACGAGTCTATAAATAATAATATTACTGCGCGCTGTACAATTGCAGTTGCGTAGCAAGCAAAGGGGTTGGTAACTATTTTTTTTTTAATATAAAATTAAATAAAATGGTTATTTTATCGTTTTTCGTGAAATATGGTATATATTTTCACTCAATATGATAAGAAGGCAATACATTACTTTTTATACTTGCTATAACAAATTACATAGTAAATCCAATCCGGGATTATGCGCGTGCCATTATATTTTGTATTTTTTTTCAGGAGAGCGAATTGGTCATAAGTCTTAAGTTTAAGACAAAAGATAGGACAGTTACGTGAAACGGTCTTAAGTGCAAAAACTTTTTCTCCTAAAGTTGGTCATAAGTCCTAGGAATTAGGATTTACTTAGGACTCTCTATGAAACGCAGCCCAGATCTCATCCATCATAACTGTAAGTCTTTAAATACAGAAATATTGTAAGTCACACTATATCCATATACTTAGATATACATATATGCACATAAAATTAATAATTCACAGTTTCCATTAAAAATGAATATAACATCCTATTAGCATTGGTACTTGGATGGAACATTTATAATCTTGTAGAAAGAAAACTTTAATGTACATGTATAGTATAAAAGTAAAAAAATCTCAAATAGTCTATATCATATAATAAAGATTGAGTTGTGTGAGTGTCTAAACATTAAATGCATATCTCTTACAGTAACAAATACTGTTCCATTAGACTTTACTTTATAACTAACTGCATATACATTGTATATCAAGTGTTTAAAATTGATAATTTCAGGATGTTATTCTTTCTCTGTTTCAATATATGGAAATGAGCACCTATATGTATAGCTTTAATTTTCCAACTTTCATTTTTACCAAAGGTTATTTGATAGACAATTTATATACAAACACATAGAAAATAATAATTAGTTTCACATAGTGATTAGAAGATTCCTGTAGCAGAATACCTGTAGGTATGTACTTACTGAACAAACTAGAAAAATCCAGTCTATACTGTATATAAAGCCAGTAAAAATCTATTAATATTCACCCCTCAGGGCCTCTATGCCTTTGATGACTTTACAACTGGTAAATTTTATACAACAAAAATAGTAAGTAATACCTAAGATAGACAGAAAAGAACAAATAATTTAGTAAACATGAATAACTTCCCCTTAAAAAGGAGAAAACATGAAACCCAAAAGAACACCATAAACAGCAAAATTATGAAATGTTACAGACTCTGGTAAAGTATTCATAAAAAAATTAGATAGTTATGTGACAGCAGTAATTGCAGAAACTCGGATAGCTTTCAACATCCGGATACTGGTACACTTTGTAAAAACAATCATTCTGTGCAATAGATAAACGTACTATGGATAAAATCAATAGGATAATCGTTTACAACAGTTCCATTACCAATCCTAATACTCATTTGCACGTGAACTTTCTTCTTGGATGAACATTTTGAAAACAATTTTAATGAATGAAAAAGAATACGGCATCAATGTAGACCACACCATTATTCGAAATCCGGGTTTTAGTATTGCCAATAAAGCTAAGGGACAAGCTGTTAAACTGAGCCTGCAATTTCGTGAAAATAATATCACAATGCACATGCTTTTTACATATAGTTATTAAATACAAATATAGCAACATATTTGTTAACTTGCTTTAACGAATCAATAAAATCTAATTAACACAACATGACATTAACTTCTTATAATTACAGCTCCTTCCATAGGCCAAAATAAAAAGCATTCCATAAGAGACGACGTCGTTCACCGGCGTGGCCAATAAAAAGTTCATATACTATTTACATAATATAATATATCTTTACAATACATCTAAAAAATATATATAAATAACATACAACTATCTTTAGCGTATAAAATATTAAAATCAAAACAATTTTACACTTCACAAATTCAAACTTATGCATATGACATAATAAAGCTTTTTAGTCATGGATACTTCAGTGTCCGCAACCTTCTATTAATACAAATAAAAAACGGCAGAGTTAAATGTGTGTTAGCCTTCGTTTGATTTAGCCTGTTCATGAACGGTACTGGAAAGTGCAAGTTACAGCCCATGCCACTAACACCGGTTTAAGCAAAATTGAACAATGGTAAAATTTTGAATTGAGAAACATCAGCAGATAAGTTCATACAGCGGTTATCATGGAACTTTAAATGTAGCACATTTTGCCATTATATAAAGATAAAATAAATATGTTTGCTATAAAGAGAAAATAATAGGCAAAACGATAATCTGCGACGTCAAGAAATAAAGGTGTTGCAGACAGGCAACTAAGAATAAATAAAAAATAATTTGAGTACCAAATAAAAACATAAGATTCTATAACATGATAACGTTTTCTGTAATAATTGAACTATCATTTCGTTCATGAGAAGGATATTGATTAATAATGTATATAAAATTGACTTGTATTAAATATACAGCTCATGTGGAATAATGCACACATTTTACTTTTTCTCCGAATGATTGTTCCAGTTGGCATCATGCAAAACAAATTGTAAATGCAAAAAAGTACGTTCAATAGAACTTCACATATTGTGTTCATATGTGTATTAGTGATACAGTGTTTATATATATATACACACAAATTTGATTCCTCTGCGTTGAATAGGCAAGTTATTCATTGTCCGTAAGATTATTTATGCCATTTAAAAACGTATAATCGAAACACTAGGGTCGTCTACTGTAACATCCATACTGAAGTTTCACTTGATATTCTCTAGAAGGTAAATCATGCATACTGTAGAACGAGAGGAGTTTGTCAAGGGAAGAAAATGTGTAAGCCTCGTGAAGCTTGTCCAAGGAAACCCGACCATTCTAAAATAGATAAAAAACTAACTAATACTAGCATGCACAATACTTGAATTTTGCCAGTGAACAGAAAATGTATCTATAAGTGGCTAAAAAATCAAATTTTAAGTTAGACTTAGTTGCTATTTTCACTTGCAATGAAAAATAACAAGCTAAAAGAAATTTAAAGATTTTTATGTCTTGATATTCATTTTAACAGAAATCGAACTCAAAGTTTAAAATGAAAAACCAAGAAATTTTAGATCTCATAACCTACATGAAACAAATACCATGCAAAACAAACCTGAGAATATATCCGGAAACATTTTAGGCCCTTAAGGGTTTGAATATACAGTTCCTACAAGGCAGAAACAAATCTAAATCAATTACAATATTTCAAAGAGAAACAAACATGAAAAAGGTACGTGAATTAGCTGAAAAAGATCGTGCGAAAGCTAACTGAACACTGGAAGAATTTCATTTTACTCGTTAAAGATCCTGTATGTTTTGTGATTGGTATTGTTACTGTGTGTACACCGCACTTGGAAAAAACAATGGAATATGTATATGATGCAATTAAAACAATTTTCAAACATCGAAGAATATGAAAAATGTGTACTGCAAATATTTGTGAAGAGTATAATTATTCAACATATTACATGCATTTCTTTCTTATTGGAAAAATTTGACTTAAAATTTATAGAAATAAATTTCTAATTACCTCCCTTTATTTACATGATATGTTAAATTCGGTAATATCTTAAGTTTATAAATAATGCTTACTGCAACTTACAATATTGACAAATCTTAATTTGAGCATCATATTTATGAAATAAAACCATGGCAACAATGTGTTGCAGGATCTTTAAATAATGATAACATGTTAAACTTAAATTTATTTGAAAGGAGCCAAACTGTTTTGAGAAAAATATTAGTTAAGGACTATATAATTGATAAGCATGTTTCGCCTCTTTCAAACTGAAAGTGAAATTCAATTTCCAATATCTCACTAATGCGTCTGGCATCTCTCGAAATTTAGAAACTATTTTTAGACAAAATATGCTCATATTAACTCTTTTCGATCGAGCTCATTGGTTGATAAAAGAAAGTAGGAAAGGACCACATATGTCTCTGGAAGAAATGTTTAGTTAAACAAGTTGATTTTCAGTAATGGTATGGAATAAATAATATACTTACATATTCATGGGGGTTGTCACCAACTGGGAAAACACCAAAGTGACCAACTTCCTGTTCTTTTAATAACCTAAAGTACATTTAATATTCAAACACAATTTCCGTAGATTTATTTCATAACATATCACATTAAAGATATACGTTGCTTACCTTTAATCACAGAAGTTTACTGAAATTTATTTTCTTTAGAAGCATAATGATCCTTTCACTGTCAGCAGCCACACTTTTGATTAACTGTTATACTAAAGGACATTGTTGATTTCAAACCACCTAACTCTCACCACGCTTGGTTTGAATCCCGAGGACTTGAGATACTTTACATGAGGATGCTATCCAGCTAGCTTATGTCATGTCGATTGATCTACTCAGGTACCGTCCGTATGGTTTAAAGGGAATTTGATTATGGGTATTTAAAAAAAAATATCGAAGCCATCAATTAAACAAAAATACTTTTAAAAGAAATTGTTAAATGTTTTTTAAAAGGTTAAAATCTTCTATGAATATGAGAAACCCAAATTTTGCTTGTTTTTTTTAATCTATCTACTCAGGTATCCGAAATTTTTCAAATGTTTTAAATCCTGTTGTAAAATAATTGTTTCCCCTTTCGTCAAAGGAGGTTTAAATTTGAATTCGTTCCTTTGCGATAAAAAAAGGGGTTTGGGAAAAAATTGGAAAGAAAATTGAGATTATTATTTTAACCAATTTTTGGTTTAAAGTTGAATTTGTCCTTTAAAAAAAGGAAAGGATAATGTTAAAAAAAAAGGGAAAAATTGTTTTTACAATTTTTTTTCCCCCTTAGCCTATTCCCGTTAAAACCAAATTTAACTTATTAGAACACCTTTAAAATGTTAAAAAAAAGGGTTGTTTTTAAAAATATGAAGTTATTTTAAATAAGTGTTTTAGGCTTTTTTCCTTCAAAAAACTAAATTTTAGAATTAATCATAAAATTTTTGGGCTTTAAGGGGCCAAAATTTAAGAAGGGAAATTTGAAATAAATGACACTGCCTCAGTCGTTACATCTCTCAACGGCTAAGTTTTAGAACGACCGAATATAGACTGGCTCATTGGCGTTTAATAAAGAATAACTTTTGACAAACTGCGCATTTAAAAAGGCCAAGGTAAAGGTATATATATTCTTGTACTTATAGTATTGTCATCATTATCAATAAAATAACTGAAATAAATGTTGATATATACCTGTAGGCCCAGTAGATCTGTGATCGTTACGTTTATAATTGTCACCATCTGGTGATTTATTCACGCGCAACGGATCATCTGACACTAGAACGCCATTTGAATTCTCACCAAAGTGACCAACTTCCTGTTCTTTTAATAACCTAAAGTACATTTAATATTCAAATACAATTTCCGTAGATTTATTTCATAACATATCACATTAAAGATATACGTTGCTAATCCTTTAATCACAGAAATTTACTGACATATTCTTTCTTTAGAAGCATAATGATCCTTTCACTGTCAGCAGCCACACTTTTGATTAACTGTTAAACTGAAGGACATTGTTGATTTCAAACCACCTAACTCTCACCACGCTTGGTTTGAATCCTGAGGACTTGAGATACTTTACATGAGGATGCTATCCAGCTAGCTTATGTCATGTCGATTGATCTACTCAGGTACCGTCCGTGCCTTCAAAGCCGGTTGGACACCTGAGGTTTTCCTCCAATAGGAAAAGGTGGGAAGAGGTTATTGACATATTCTGTGTTGATGCGACATAAATTACAAATAAAAAAGCCTGATGATATTCACTGAGAAAGTAATTTATGGAAAGTATGCGTAGAAGCAGTAGAAGCAGAGTTATTTCATTCTTACCATTTTCCTCTTACTATGTCCGCACAAAAATAGTCCTCTCTTGCAAATGTCTGCAATAATCAATTAAACTTGTTCTAATTATAATTATACAAATTTAAACATAGAAAAGAGGGACAAGTGTAATTTAAAACTAGACGCTGATAGAAATTATTATATCATTGCACTGATATATAATATGTACATTTGATTCGGAAAACAATCCACGAGCGCCCTGTTAGAAGCCAACTGGTAGTAATTTTAAAATGGAAGGGCTCCATTGACCCGTCCAACGATGTATTTTCCTGTTTACATAAATCAGATCGCCAAAAATATATCGCCAACGTCACGTCAGCTAAAAAGTAAATATCTGTTTTATCATGCATATATAGTTTATAAATAGCTTTTGTATGGCTTATAACATCTTCTATTGAATATGACGGAAACCGACAATTTTTCAGCTTGTTTTTTTTTTTATTTATTTGTCGTTTTCAAACCTTATATTTTAAAAGAGCACATTGGTACATTTAACTCGTAATTCTCTTACAGATGTGAAAATGAAAGCTAAACTAGATTAATTTGACTTTTATTTGCGAGTCACCCAACGTTTTCTTTTTTTAATAACAACAATAAAATGGGCGTTACGTCACGTCATAGCCTCGCGTCTTTTGAGGGATTACAAGAAAATCTATTTATAGGGAAAATATCCGTGAATATACTCTGACAATTTATTTAAGAAGACTATTAGCCTGTTATTGTTAACAAAAAGTTGCTTATAAGCCAGTCATGGAAAGGCATTTCAAAACTTTTTACAGATTATATAATAAACGTACAAAAATGTTTTACTTAGAAAAGTAAAGAAGAAACATACTTACTTTCTTCGGCATGCTTTGTAACGTTTCTGGATTTTCATAACGAACTTTAGGCGATGTATTGCCACTATTATTATTTTCGTCCAGATGTTCTTCAAAATCACATGAAGGTACAGAATCATTCGCTCCGCTTCGAACTGAGACAAATGATTGATCAACAGACGGCATGTGATTAATTGACAGTTCAGAAGCGTTCGTTCCTTGTCGACTAAATGGTGACATTGAAGCATGCGAAGTTGCAGGCGATCTATTCACTGTTGGTTTAACCAATGCTTTCGGTTTTAAACGTTGCTTAATTTGTCCTCCTAAAATAGGAAAACAAAGGATAATGTTAAAGAAGTACAGTGTATATATAGTAATTAAGTACACTAAATATATTCGTTTGACATATTACAGGTTATACAAATCATAAGTAGCTATTAAAAGAACACCTCGTTAAGGATGTCTTTAAAAAGTTAAGAAATGCATTCGAAATATGAAGTTATATTAATACATGAACGTTTTAGGAAGAATGGTTTTTACCTTCAAGATGATTCTTTAACTCGTTTATGAGGTTATCACTCGGCGGAGAATGTGTATCTTTTTCAGATGTTCCTGAAATCAAGAACAAGATTAATTAAGTATTGCAATATTTGATAACACTAGTGTATAAATGTGTAACAAGAATTTTTAGCACAGAAATGATGTTTTATCAAAGTGTCTTGTTTTGTTTTTTCTTTCTCTTTAAATATTTTTGTTTTGTTTGTTTGTTTGGTTTTTTAAGGCACGTCAACACATAACTGGCCATATCGTGCCGAATACTATAATAGGCTTAAAATGTTTTTAATAGCGTACATTTATCAAAATTATTATAGTGCTGTCTATGTTTTGTTTTAACAATTAGTGACAAGTTAAATGTTGATGCTGCACATCAAAGACGCCGCCAAATGATGTGAACAATCAATCAGCATTGAAAAGCGTTCTCTATTACAGTTGAATATCCGAAACAAATCATTTTTTTCTCAATGTTCTTGGTATGTGCTCGTTGTTTAATAATAAAGTTGCATATCTTTGTGAAAAAGTAGAACCTAATGCATTTAATTCACAAAGTGATGCCATGTATGAAATTCTGAAATGTTTGTCTTTTGCGACAAAGACTGAAACGTCTGGTCGAAGCAAATAAATTGGATAACAAGTAAAATTGAAATGATTGGTATACTTAAAATAAATTCAAGACAATATGTGCCAAGGATATGTCCATTTAAATATTGGTACGAATTGCATAATGTTCGAATGATTATAATGACGAACTGTTCTACAGTGATCTCCCCTTAGGGCCGTAGCGTAACCGGTGCGCACAGTTTGGCGAACTTTCTTAACGGTTGAGGTAGAACCACCTTTCTAAAAGTGGGCGTGGTTAAGGCTTTGTAACTTGTAATTTAATGATTCGACAAGTGATATTGATCAAAGATGTCCTGGTTCCCTTCCACCCCGTCAACAAAGACTAAATGCTAGCATACGGAGCATGATAGAATATTTGGCGACAATTTAAGGCGGAGCCGAACTTCAAGAGAGGCGGAGCAAATGAAATAAATGACACTGCCTCAGTCGTTACATCTCTCAACGGCTAAGTTTTAGAACGACCGAATATAGACTGGCTCATTGGCGTTTAATAAAGAATAACTTTTGACAAACTGCGCATTTAAAAAGGCCAAGGTAAAGGTATATATATTCTTGTACTTATAGTATTGTAAATATTATTAATATACAAACTGAAATAAATGTTGATATATACCTGCAGGTCCAGTAGATCTGTCTCCATCTGGTGATTTATTCACGCGCAACGGATCATCTGACACTAGAACGCCAATCGAATTCTCATATCCATCGTCATCTTCTGTAACAATGTTATCAAATCACTATAAGTGCTGCTATTGACCAGTTACAACACGTTGTTCAAATATTAATGCAGCTGAGTACATACAGATATCAACCTTGTGTGTCTTGACTATTCACCTCCAGCTGATATGCAAAATTTCAATATTTTGATAAAATCCTTAAATGACTGTAAGCTTATTATAATACTGCATGTTAATAACATCGCTTTTCGTTGGATAATCGTGACGTTTATATAGACTTTTATAATTCTGCACGTTTGTAACGTCGCTTTTCATTGAATAATCGTGAAGTTTATAAAGTTTTTTATTACCCTTCCAGATTTTTTCCGCCTTTTTGATTAGATATTGATCACCCGAAAGAAATTGATATGACCGAGCCAGACGAGTAATATACACATTAAATTTCCCCGATGGGTACCCCACGTTGTAAACAACATGCGCAGTGCGATGCGCGTACGGTTTGGTTTTACGCGATATAAATTCCGATTTACAAGCACTTTTAAACTGTCAAATGATAAATATTTACCAAAATAGAGTAATGATACATATTCTCGTCAGTATAGGAAACAAATATGGCTTGTGAAAGCTTGATATTAATTCCAAAAAAGTATGTTCAGCAGACTACTCCTTTTCTCTTGTTTACATCCATTATGTTCGAAAGAAAATACGTCATGTATTTATGTGACGTCATGTTATTGGGAAGGGGTATCCTAAAGGGAATCTTATTTCGACGTTTCATTTGAAGTAGCAATGATTAATTTTACAATCGTCTTAACTCGGCACAGGAAGGGTAATAAAATTATTATTTTGGTTTTGGAGTAATATATGTGGATATATTACCTGCCAAGATAAAATATCACCCTCGCCAAACGGCTCGGGTGATATAAAATCCTGACAGGTAATATATCCACATATATTACTCCAAAACCAAAATAACATATAATATAAACATACGGCTCCTGATAATTTATGAAGAAAACTCACTTTCTTATCTAAAGAAGTTTTTGCTGTATTATAAATTCGTTATAGATATTTCTGACAGGTGATATGACCGTATATAAACGGTTGTTTGCAAAACAACCCTTGCTAAGCAGTTCGGTCTATATTTCAAAACAACCGTTTATATACGGGATATTTGTTTAGTTCAGTGTAAGATCGGAATATATTTCACCGAGTGAGCATTAAAAGGGATAATTCACGAGTGGCGCAGCCACGAGTTAAATATGAACTTTTGGTGTTCACAAGGTGAAATATATTTCGATCTTACAAAAAACTAAACAAACTTTCTTTTCATTATATGCAAAAAAAAAAAAGTTTTAAAAAGACATAAAACCTAACACTGAATGAAAAGCGCGCCAAATTATAATACAACGTGACGTCATTTAAAGCTGTTAAGAGTTATATTTCATCACAAAATATTTATGTTTAAATAAAGTAGTATACATGTAGTTTAATCGCATATTGTCATAGCAGCATGTTTCACAAAACATGTAATTGCATAAAAGGAATTAGCAACCAACATTTAATAATTTAAGGTTTAAATTTATTTCGCAGTTTAAGTGCATAATCTATAAATGATAAATTTAATATTGTCTTTACACTTTTATATGACAGTTATAAGTTACAGCCGATGAATATTTGGATGTTCCAAATACTTACTTGGAAGAATTGTTGACGTAAATGATCATTTAAAGGACATTTTAACAGAAAATGGTATTCATATTCAATGTATACTGACAGCGTAAACAAAAACAAATTTCCCAAGGAATACCACTATGTCCTTCTTTCTTTATCATCAACAAGATGGGAAGAGGACCTAAAAGCTACAAGACTGCTCCCTAATTTCAATGTCTATACTTTCAAGATTTATTTTTCAAAATTATCATAACATTTCAATTTTCAATAAAATACTAGCTTTCTATTTCGCATGCATAAAATTTTGATGCATAAAATTGTGCTATTTCAAAAGATTGAGGTATGGATGTTAGGACTTTCAGTCCAAAATTATGATCAATGCCTGATCTGCAAATGCAACAATAAATTTATTAAAGAAAGAAAATGAAACACGGAATTTAAAATTCTATCATGTTAAACTTTCACCTCTAAGTGTGACCTTGACCTTGGAGGTAGGGATGCATGTGTTGTGCATGGCATTTTATTGTAACTATTTGTACAAAGTATTTTCAAAGTCCCTTGAACTATGAAGAAGTTATAGATCGGACACAAAATATACCCTATAACAGACTATGCTAATCTTTGACCCTAAGTGTGACATAGAAAATAGAAGTAGGGACACATGTGTCACGTATGACATATCACCTTATCATTGTTACTATTTCAGCCAAGTATTTTTTAAATCCCTTGATCGATGGAGAACTTATGGACGGAACACAAAATATACCACACAACAGACATATAAACATCTTTCATGTTAAACTTTTACCTCTAAGTGTAACCTTGACCTTGGAGGTAGGGATGCAGGTGTTGTGCATGCCATTTTATTGTTACTATTTGTGCCAAGTATTTTCAAAATCCCTTAAAATATGAAGAAGTTATAGATCGGATACAAAATATACCCTATAACAGACTATGCTTACCTTTGACCTCTCAGTGTGACCTTGACTTGGAAGAAGGGGTGCAGTTGTTGTGCTTGACATATCGCCTTAGTATTGTGACTATTTGTGCCAAGTTATTTAAAAATCCCTTGAACAATGAAAAAGTTCTAGATCGGACACAAAATATACCCAATAACAGATTATGTTACTTTTTGACCTCTAAGTGTGACCTTGATCTAAAAGGAAGGAATGCAGATGTTGCGCATGACACATCTTCTTATTATAGCGACTATTTGCGCAAAGTGTTTTCAAAATCCTTTGATTTATAAAAAAGGTATGGAGCGGACACAAAATATACTCTTTAACAAACTATGTTACCGCCTCCATGGTCGAGGGGTTCGAGTCGATGACTTCGAATCTTGTTACCTCTCTGGCATGGGTTCGATCCCCGGGACAGGCTTTGGTAGTTTAGCGCGGAGGAAGGTATTATAGTACTGGTGTAACTCTCCAGGAACGATGGTTAGGAAAATACCCGCAAATACGACTGAAATACTGTTGGAAGAAGGCGTAAAATGAAACAAACAAACAAAAACAAAACAACAGACTATGTTAATCTTTGACCTCAAAGTGTGACATTGACCTTGAAGGTACATCACCGGTTGTTGCTTATGACACATCGTCTCATTATTGTGAACAATTGGCAAGTATTAACAAAATCCCTTCAAAGATAACAAGAGCCATGTCAACATGGCCATCCCCCGCCGAATGTGTTTGCTCATTGGAATAAATGTAAATGTAGTAGAGCAGAATAATTCCATTTTAAGAGTTCTTTTGGTAATGAAAACTGATGGCTATAGTGATTACAGATTTGAAACCTATGTGAATACTGATGGCTGTAAATAACAAAAGGCAATAACGGAAAATAATGCAGGGTAGGTTATCATTCTTGTGTGCTGCATCCCTCCTCAGTAAAATCTATCCACCTATAAAGTTTCAAGTTGATACCTCAAATACTTTTTGAGAAAAATATTGAATTGAAAAATTAAGTATGAAAAAAAAAAAAGGGAAATAAATCAAATTTTATAAAAGGTAGAGTTATCATTCTTCTGCACTGCACACCTCCTGAGTTAGATTTATGTACCATTATGAAGTTTCATAATGATATCTCAAAGGCCTTTTGAGTTATGCTCTGGACAAAAATTAATTTTGTAAAATAACAAAGGGCAATAACTCAAACACTATGCAGGGTAGAGTCATCATTCTTGTGCACTGCACTCCACCTCAATGAGATACATCCACCTATGAAGTTTCAAGTTGATACCTCAAATACTTTTTGAGATAAGCTCTGGACATAATAGCATGAAAAAGAACAAAGGGCAATAACTCAAAAATTGTGTATTGAAGAGTTATCATTCTTCTGCACAGCATTCCTCCTCAATAAAATCTATCCACCTATGACATTTCATGTTGACATCTCAAACACTTTTGAGTTATGCTCCATTCAGGTGAAAAATTAAGTATGAAAAATAACAAAGGGAAATAACTCAAAAATTATGAAAGGTAGAGTTATCATTCTTGCGCACTGCACACCACCTGAATTGATCTATGCACCTATGAAGTTTCATGTTGATATCTCATAGGCTTTTGGAGTTATGCTCTGGACAAAAATCAATTTTGAGAAATAGCAAGGAGCAATAACTCAAAAATTATGCAGGGTAGAGTTATCATTCTTGTGCCCTGCACTCCTCCTCAATGAGGTCTATCCACCTATGAAGTTTCAAATTGATAACTCAAATACTTTTAGAGATATGCTCCGGACAAAAATGTCGGACGGAAGGTCGGACGGACGGACGGACGGAGACTATTATCATATCCCCCGCCGGATAAAAAAAATTATGGGCCGGACACGAGCTAAACCCTCAAATAGACAATGTTGACCTTGAATGAGCAAATGCGACACAACAGCAGGTGTCAAGTGCTGTGTGGCAGCTGTAAAAAGTTGCCCCGTACTTCACTTCAGTGTTGTTATATTTTTCTGGTCCTTCGGGATCATTGATGCCAGCACTATTAAGTGTTGAGAATTGAGTACCGCTCAAGCCGGTGCTAGGGGGCGTGAGGGATGTTGCATATAATCATTATCCCTCATGTACAGACTCAATCAAACCGAGTCTGCAATTCTTATGTAATTTTGTTGTGATTAATGCCTCCGAGGGATCACTTTGTTTCCAGATTTTGATCCTGGAGGTAGGAGTATGGTTGTTACGCATGAAACATTGTCTTATTATAACAAACATTTGTGCCAAGTTATTTCAAATTCCTTTGAAAAATGAAAAAAGAAAACAAAAGTGTGAGGGACGGGGAGAGTAATAATGTTGTTTCTCTATTGTTCTTTTTTAGCCACACAAAAATAGCCACATGAAAGCATTACAGAGTGAATGACATCAAAGAGAAAGAACATTTACCTACTGTCCCTCTAGCTACATTATTACTGTCCCGTGAGAGAGGTCGGACGGACGGAGCCTATTTTTATATATCCTTTTTCTTCGAATCGTTCATTTATAAAAGCTGTATCCAAAATTAAATACATCTTTATATGCATATTTATTCATTGGGTATCGTTTTTATTATTTTTTTTGCACCCAACAACCAAATCATAGCACTTCATTGGTTGTAATATTTCCAACAACATATAGTTAATAATTGAATATATATAAATTATACGGTCATAAAATAAAAAGCAGGCAGCAAATCTAAAGATAACATACCACTTGGCTGAACAGGCACACATGTGGCCATTGTTAAAAAGCTTTCATTGACCTCGTCGTACTTTGCATACGCATAGTCAGGTGTCTCTACAAAAATAAACAAAGGATTGTTTTTTCCTGAAACGTCCTTGTTCGTTATTTTTTTACAAAATTAATATAAATTATTAAGCGGTATTGTTCTTGGGTCCTTGGCTCAGGAAAATGAGAAATTTTGATTGATATAAACTTAATATGATGTAGCCCTTAATATTAAAAACATACTCAAACACAGTAGTACAAAAAGGCACGTAAGTAGCATTTGCTGTCTTTGATTGTAAACACTTCTCCTTATGGAAACAAAATTGATTTGTATAATCAAAACCAAAAGTATAGAGCTAGGTCAATTTGCATATCGCATAGTCATAAGAAGCACTGTAAGTAACTCATTTTTAATCCTCTTTAGCTCACCTGAGCTTGCTCAGGGTGAGCTTTTAGGATCGGTGAATGTCCGTCGTCCGTTTTTCCGTCCGTCCGTCGTCCGTCGTACGTCCACAATTGCTTGTGAACACTGTAGCGATCGCATTTTTGCCTCAATCATTTTCAAACTTGGTCAGGATGCTTATCTAGTTGTAAGCTCGGATGAGTACGAACATGGCTCATCTCGGATGAAAAACTAGGTCACAAGAGCTAAATATAGAAAAACCTTGTGAACACTCTAGATGTCACATTTTTGACCCAATCATCATCAAACTTATTCAGGGTATTTGTCTAGGTAATAGCTCGGATGAGTTCGAACATGGGTTATTTCGGATGAAAAACTAGGTCACAGGAGCTAAAAATAGAAAAACCTTGTGAACACTCTAGTGGTCACATTTTTAAACCAATCACCATCAAACTTGGTCAGAATGCTTGTCTAGTCAATTGCTTGGATGAGTTCGAACATGGGTTATTTCGGATGAAAAACTACGTCACAGGAGCTAAAAATAGAAAAACCTTGTGAACACTCTAGTGGTCACATTTTTAAACCAATCACCATCAAACTTGGTCAGAATGCTTGTCTAGTCAATTGCTTAGATGAGTTCGAACATGGGTCATCTCGGATGAAAAACTAGGTCACAGGAGCTAAAAATAGAAAAACCTTGTGAACACTCTAGTGGTCACATTTTTGACCCAATCATCATCAAACTTTGTCAGGATGCTTGTTTAGATAATGGCTCGGATGAGTTCGAATATGGGTCATCTCGAATGAAAAACTAGGTCATTGGAGCTATAAATAGAAAAACCTTGTTAACACTCTAGCGGTCACATTTTTGCATCAATCATCATCAAACTTGGTCAGGATGCTTATCTAGATCATAGCTTGGATGAGTTCAAACATGGGTCATTTTGGATGAAAAAGTAGGTCACCGGAGCTAAAAATAGAAAAACCTTGTTAACACTCTAGCGGTCACATTTTTGCATCAATCATCATTAAACTTGATCCCGATGCTTGTCTAGGTGATAGCTCGGATGAGTTTGAACATGGGTCATCTCGGATGAAAAACTAGGTCACAGGAGCTAAAAATAGAAAAACCTTGTTAACACTCTAGTGGTCACAATTTCGACTCAATTGTCATCAAACTTGATCAGGAAACTTGTCTAGGTCATTTCTGTAATGTACAGCGCAATCGAATATTTAATACATTTTTGCGCTATATAAATGTCTTGTATTTGTATTTGTATTCTGGGAATAAATCGAACATGGGACATCTCGGATGAAAAACTAGGTCACAGGAGCTAAAAATAGAAAAATCTTGTTAACACTCTAGTGGCTACTGTTGTGATCCAAATATTCTGTTAATTGGTCTAAAAATTTGTTTTGATGATTTCTAAGTCAAGATCCAACATGGGTCATCTTGGATGAAAAACTAGGTCACACCGCCCAAATATGGAAAAACCTTGTTAACATTCTAGTGGTCACATTTTCGACTCAATTATCATCAAACTTGGTCAGGATGCTTGTCTAGGTAATTGCTCGGATGAGTTCGAAAACGCATACGAAACTAAGTCACCGGAGCTAAAAGTAGAAAAATCTTGTTTTGATCCAAGTATCCTGGAAATTGGTCTGAAAGTTTGTTTTGATGATTTCTAGGTCAAGTTTGAATATGTGTAACCTGGGTAAAAAACTAGGTCGCACTGCTCAAATATGGATAATCCTTGTTAACACTGTAGTGGTCACATTTTTGACTCACCTGTCATGAGACTTGGTCAGAATGCTTGTCTAGGTAATTGTTTGGATGAGTTTGATAAGTCAGGTGAGCGATCTAGGGCCATCATGGCCCTCTTGTTTAAATTTTATTCTGAGGTACCAGAAATGATAAATGACCTTTTGGACATTTATTGACTACATCCAACGACTCTCATTTACTATTATCAATCCTTGTATGCCATCTATTGCACAAGCTCATGCGATAAAGCTTAGATAATGCGTGTTCATCCAAATCTATTTAGGGAATTTCTATTCATTATAATTATAGGGAATTTTATACTACCATGTTTGATTTTAATTATAAAAATATCTTATAGGTTATAGGGCCCAGTGTAAACGGTTTAGGTTTACCATAATACTGCACGTTTGTAACTTCGCGTTTCATTGGATAATCTTGATATTTATATAGATTTTTCATTCTAATGCACGTTTGTAAAGTAGTGAGGACCTCAAAGTTCAAGATTGCTTCTTAATATTACAATTAAAATTTCTATAAAACATAAGCTTTCTATCCTCTACTATTTTCGAAACACTCGCTGTTCCAATTTTGCATATATTGATCTTTTAACCGATTTACATAAAGAGCAAGGAATTATATTTTGCATTTTCCACCTATTTTTCCTTCTCAAATATACCCAAACCATTCTAATAGAGAGTTGTCACCCTTTTTTACAACCATTTTCATCTAATTTTTTTAAGCATAAAACAACATTTTAACTATCCAGCTAGCTTACGGAACGTCGGTGGTTCTACTCAGGTGCGTGTTCCTGCCTGAAATAATGCACGGAAGGGCACCTGAGGTCTTCCTCCGCCAGTAAAGCTGGAACGTCGCGATATGACCTATACTGTGTCGATGTGACGTAAAACCCAAAAACAAACAAACAACATTTTAAACATATCTTATAGCATCCTTACATAAATCTGTGTAAAATGCACTTACTTTGTCCACTTCTGATAACAGTCGCCTCGGCGCTTCCAAAGCCACTGTCTCTGTAAAACAAAATTATAGAAAACCTTATATTACATACCACTTTTAATGCTTTTAAGGTTGGATAATTCATGCAAATTATATAGTTTAGTATATCGATATATTTCAATAATTCTTCATTTGTGTTTGTAAGCAGATTGTTATCTTGATTGAATCAAGAGGTGAAAGTAAATCATTTAAACTTGTCAATCTAACAATGAATGTCGGAAACAATAAATAATTATGATATTGATGTTTGAAACATTAAAACATATTCCAAACTAACTTACGCTGAACAGGAATGCCATCGTTTCACTTCAGAAATTTCTTCTTGGAATCGTTGAATCCACTTCTAAACAAGATACAAACGTTTTTGTTAATACTTTTTGTTACTACATGTACACATTTTATAACAGACTGGTGGTTTGGATTTCTATTGGTTAATACAGCTTCTGTCGGTACCTCGGCAACTTGAGAGGTGTTATTCTGAATTTCTGTGTTTCTGCTATGATGGCGATTCCGCCGTTCCAGAACATATGGTATGTGATATATATAACAATTTACTAAATCCTAGCCACTTTACCCATGACGTATTTGTATAAATATTATATACATGTTGGTTTACGTTTACATGATGTTTAATAATACATGTTTAATAAACACCGTTCTTTATCCTCAACCTGCTGAATTCTGAATTTATTATACTTTGCCATCAATGTAGAGCCTGACTGGCACATCAAAAGATTTATGGTTAATACAAATAATATACATAATCTTGAAATTTTAGTTTCATAGCAGCAAAGTATCCCTACGTCACTGAACATAAAGTTGACGAGGGTACAATAGCAATCGCCCTTGAATAATATATAAGATATCTTACTGTCATGTGCTCGGTGGTATCACACAAAAACAATATTGGGTTTTGCATTGTAGTGTAATTTAGACGAAAACCTTTTTCACCGTTCTCTAGAACACACTCTGTTGCACTGAAACAATGTAGCCACCAGTATATTTTAAATGTGGTAACAATGATTTTTTCCTGTTTAGATATAAGTCTTGAACTAAATTAAAATCGTAAAATTCACTTGAATTATAAAGTCAACTTAACATACCTCTGTAAATCAAAGGCACATAATGCCTCAAGAGCATTTGTTTTTATTTCTTTAGAAAGGGCAAACAATTCGTTTTCATAATGGTTTTAGATGTTTATCACCTGAAGAAAGTAGCGCTGAACGTACAAAAGTATTATCACTCCCATACCGAAATAGTCTTTTATTCTAACAGTACTAAATGCCAAAAAGCAGCAGAAGCAAAAGACGGTTCAGGTAATAAGCTAATCAGAACTAATAAGAATATTTTTAGAACTTTTCGGTGATCAAGAATTAAATAAAAATAGGAAATCAAGAATAAAAACGTTTCTGCGACATAATAGGGCTTTGTACAATAATTCAAGCTAAATATGTTTATATGTAAATATTTTAATTGATACTAACGATCTTTGCATACCTTTCAAATTGTTTCAATGAGTAAGATTGGTCTTGTTTTGTAGCCTTTCTACTAAGATAAACATAAAAGCAGCCTTTGGATATGATCACATATCTCTGTTTCCCTGGAAATATAAAGACAAAATAAAATAAATTTCTGTGAATTTTGTGTTTAATAAACTTAGGCCCCTTTGATTTGCGATCTGTTCTAGTAACTTTGCCTAATAAAATTCTGCTTCAACAACGTAGGCTCGAACCTTTGTAATTTTCCTTAAGCCTATAATTAAACAATAACGCCACAGCCATATATGCTGGATCAAAGACATTAAATGCTTCTTAAAATGCTGGATAGTCAAACAGATGCAGGCAAAATACGATCTCAAACAAATGCCTATCAGTAAAAAGCTTAGGTCTAAAGAAAACACTTTGAACTGTGCATGAACGTGTTTTTTGTCCATCAAACTTTCATAAAGCATGTCTTATTTTTGAAAAAGATGTTGGAAATATGTTTATTACAAATGTGGTCTAACATACCTCAATAGAACCACTGACCTATAATGTTAGCGAACCACGTTAGTATCATGAAATAATAAAAATCCCTGTTCTATTCACAACCACAGCGATGACCACAAGTGATTTTAAGGCAGCACACTTGTTTGGCCACGTATGGCTCCCCAATTAGCAGAGAACGATACATATACACGCTTTATAATTGGATTTGCTCCAAAATGAAAGAGAGATTTATTTCTTAAATAAATAGCACAAATACTTACACTTCTTACCTATCCTACGTTTACAATGAACATATATATCCCCACAATGTGCCAGATTATCAAATTTTAAAAGGTCCTCTGCACCTTCAAGAAGAATGTATTTAATAGATTTAAACTTAGCAATTGTAGATTATTTTTAATACTGAACAATTGTGTTACACATAAAATAAACAAGATTTCACAATTTCTTCAGAAAAGTATGTGAGTAAAATAGAGAAATAATTACTTTCTTTAAATCATCTGCAAGATTGGATATGTTGCAGGGTTTGATTGAGCAAAGATAGCATTTTATAGCAACATTGTATCATAGTTTGGTCACCTTAAATTAAAATGTACCAGGGTTAGATCGCCAGGATTATACTCATGAATGCATAAACTGGGTTGCAGGTATAAGTTATCTGCTCTCGAGGTACCTCACTGTCTGTCGGAAATGAAAATGGAGAATGCAGAGGATTGAATACATTTTTTTCTTGGGTTAATTTATTATTACGAAAGTGAAAGGGATAATGATAAAAAATCTATTCAAATGTTCGTTTATTGGTTTTTTAGGGTTTCACAATAACGTGCTATCAGTGTTTTTATGTCTCGGGCATAGAGTGATTGAACCGTCCGTCCGCCCTGCTGTTCGACTGTCCGTACGAGGTTAACGTAAAACGGCAAGTTGGATTTTTCTCAAAGTCTACTTATACCAATGGCTTAATACTTTACAACTTAGTAATCAACTTAACGTTCATGATCTAGGCAAGTACCATAACTATGGCTTTCAGTTTTACCAAGTTATTGCCTTTTTCAGCACTTAGAAAATGAATGATTGGTTAACCTAAAACGGCAAGTTGGATATATTATTAGTTCTATCTATACTAATCTAATAGATTCATAATTACCACACTTACGAAAATAATATTGCCAAGTTATATAACTATGTCATCCATTTTTCCCAGATATTTCCCTTTTTATCATTTTGAAAATAAGGCCTTGTATGGTTAACCTATTTAGGCAAGTTGGACTTAAATGTCTCCTAATTGCTTCAATTATCTAATGGTATATTTCATATTTAGTAGGTGGATACCTGAACCGGTTCTCTAATTTTCTATGGAATAAGGGGTCTCTAGAATCAAGGTCACTGGTGTAAAGCAAATCTAAATATTTTTGCTCATACAGCCTTTATTTTTAGTTGATGTCATTCATGTTTAATACAAACTGCTCATGGAGGTCATCTTCATTGGGTTTAGGGGTCATTTGGGTCAAGGCCACCAATGTCAAAAACATATCTTTACTTTTTTACAGGTGTATTAACGTTAGTCAATTGACAGATGTCTCAGATGTTGTATTTGTAGGCATATAAGATTTGGGCCTTTTTCTTCGAATGGAGTTAGGGTCAGTTGGGTCAAGGTCACCAGTGCTGAAAAAAAATAGATTTTACACTTTAACACTTACAACATTTATTTATTTACAGATGTCTTTCATAGGAAAATTACTTGCATGCTATTCTTCCTCCCGATTGAGGTAAGGGCAGTGGGTCAATGTCACAAGTGTTAAAATAGATTTCAAATCACACTTTTGCTAATATAGCCTTATTTACTGACAAATGCATTTCATATCTGGTATGAAGATAACTTGCATAGTATTCTTCCTTTGGGTGGAGTAAGGGGTCATTTCGGTCACCAGTGCTGAAAATAGCTATTTACACTTTTGCCCGTACAGCCTTAATTAATTGACAGATGTGTTTCATATTTGGTAAAAAGATAACTTTCATAATACTCTTCCTTTTGATTGAGGTAGGAGTCAGTGTGTCAATGTCAAGGATACCAAAAATAGATTTCTATATGTTTGCTAACACAGCCTTTTCTTTTTGACTATATTTGGTAGGATGATAATTCATATGGTCTTCTTCCTTTGCATTGAGTTAGGGATCAGTTGGGTCAATGCCATCATTGCTTAAACATATATTTTGTTTCACTTTTGCTAATATATCCTTTATTTATGGACAGATGTCTATCATGTTTGGTTGGTTTTGGGTGTTATTCTTCCTTTCTATTGAATTAAGAGTCAGTGGGTCAAAGTAAAAGAAAACACTAATAATAGATTTCTACACATTTGCTTAAACTGCCTTTATTTTTTGACTGAAACTGCCTTTATTTTTTGACTGATATTTTTTCATTTTTGAAAGGATGATAACTTGCATCCTTGGATTGAGTTAGGGGTCAGTTTGGTCAAGGTCACCAGTGCTAAAAATAGATTTTTACACTTTTGCCCATATAGCCATTGTTTATAAACAGACGTCTTTCATATTTAGTAGTAAGATATCTTGCATAGTTTTGATTGAGTAAGGGGTCAATGGGTTAAAGTCAAGGGTGACAAAAACAGATTTTTATACATTGGCTTATACAGCCTTTATTTATAGCCTGAAGCTTTTCAAATTTGAAAGGAACATACATTGGATAGTCACAAAGACAATGTCACTTATTTATAAAGCCTTGTATTTTTACCAAGTCTCATATTTACAAGGAATATACCTAAGATGGTCCTTTAAGATCGGGTGGAGTTTGGGGTTACTTGGTTCAAGGTAAAGTCTTGCATTTACATTTAAAATACTAGGATTTGATTAAGTTGAATATTTTTCAACTTAATCACTAGTCATAGCAATGACTTGCCAACTTATGTTTTTAAAATTACAAAACGCCATGTCGAATTATATTACTGCGTTTACATTTTTGGTAATTTTCGGTCCTTAATTGAGTAAATGAGAGAACATTTTTTGAAATATTGGTACTGACATGAACCTGAGCCGGAGGCATTTTTGTTTAACAAACTAGTTCTTGTTACTTTGTCTATGATACAAAAACGAATTCCAAAGAACATCAAAACATTCAGCAATCTGACTGACTCCTATCTCTTCGTGCAAATCAGATAGCCTCGGATTTTGATGCCCTTTCTATTACTTATACTGGTTTTGTTTTTAAAGATTTGGCTAAAAAAAGCAAATTTGAACCGTTTTAAATCAACGTTAAATCATAATGTTTATAACTGTGTAAATGAATATATATATAACAAAACTAGAACTGTATTGAACGGGCTAATTAACAGTAGGAAAGAAACCCAATTCAATTGTCAAAACTGTGTCTCTTAAACACTTTTGACGTATCCAAACGAATGGGTACATTGTGAAATATTTCTTCATTAATTCTTACACATTGATATCTATCAAACATATATATGTTTACAAAAATTCAAATCCTTTTGATTTGTAGTATTAAAACCATTATTGCATTTGTTTTTATAATACATTTTTAATCTTATTTCATAGGTAGATAACTAATAAGTCTTACCTATTGTTATGGGCTCTTCGCAAATACCCATTATTTTTCAAGTCCGTCTTTTAAATATCCTGTAACACAATTTTTTTATGGTTTATATCATAAAAATGATGCTCAAATTGAAATTTATAAATATTTTAAGTTCCAAAAAAGCATTATTTATAAAGATATTACCGAATTTTAACATTTCATATAAATAGAGGGAGATAATTGGAAATTTATTTTTTATAATGAGTAAGTCAAATTTAAAAAAAAAAATGAATGCATATATTTTAATGATTACATATAATGTGCACAAATATTTGCAGTTCATATTTTACCTATTCTTCACATTTTGAAAATTATAATTATAAACATATATAAAGTTCCACTAACGTGTGGTAACAACCTCAAATATAACATTCAAGATCTTTAAAAGGCTACATATCTGAGAAGAAGGTTAATATGTGTTACAATCTAAAGTAAACTTATACACCTATAGACTTGTCCTGTTTTGAGTTAAAATATGATAAACAAGAGCAACAAGGAAAGGCGACGTTCAATAAACGCAACTCCTACACGACCCAGCAACAAGACCCAGCGACATGGAGACCAAGAGGAACCCAAATAAAAACAGGGCGCAAGTAAATGCTGTATTTTGTGTATTTCGGGGATTTTAACTGCGCCATTACCACGTGACGTTTTGTGATCATGGGTCGCAAATCAATACAAAAGACGGGGCATTTAGAATTTTCTACCGAAAATTATTGAATTTTTTTTATATCATTTTATATGGGATTAAACGTAATTATTTGTCGCGATATATACGATTATTTACCAATGACGAGTGACTCACTAGAGTGGGCGAACTCTACACTTGATCAATGTAAAAATGATGATAAAAATAAAAATTGAAGAAAGAAATTATCTTCTTAAGCTATTCAGCAGCTTGCAGATTACAAAAGACAGGAAGTATAGTCACCGCGATAATATAATTTTGTGACATGCTGTACAGTGTCTTGTCTGGTTTTATATAGTACAACCCGGTGGATACAAGCAGTTATACATAATAATAATAAATTGGTTGCCATGTTAAGGACCCTTCTCTCGCTTGTATAATAATATTTCAATTTAACTCAGTCTATTCAATGACCTTAGATGTCCATCATAAATGAATTAGGGATATCTTATTTAATATTAAGACAATTATCTTTAGGATAAATTTTATCCAGTAAGGACTAACGATGATTATTGAAAATGCATTCATAATTTCTTAAAGGTTTTCCACTTCCTCATTCATAAATTCAAAACTTATTTGAGTGAATGCACGGGACACTACACCACACACGCAATGAAATGACATTTAAAAATAATAATCATTAAAAATCTATAAGCATATATTCATTAAAGCTGCATGCCTCCAGATGAGTCAAAATAGTTCAATAAAATCAAACTTGAGAAACATGTACTACGATTTAAGGAAACGTAATATTAATTAAATGATTCAAGATTCAAGTAATATTTTACATGTTATGTGCGGTTAATGACTGATTTTTTAGTATTTACAACTATATTTCTTCTGCGTTACTAACGCAGGAAGGGCTATTTATGCAAATTTTGACCACCTTTACATTCAAATACATTTTCAAAATTTCCATGAAAATTAGCATGAATCTGGAGGCGTGCTGCTTTAAGGTCTGTAGGCCTTATAGACAGCTTGAAATGGCAAAATATGTAAAACAGGATCAACAAGGGAGGGTGACATTCACTGAACACATCCCCAACACGACCCAGCATCACAGGTATATGGCCATGGAGCTCAGCAGGACAGTTTTATCTTTTTTTTTATTTTGTTTTTATCATTTTTTTTATCGAATCGATTTTTCAAACAACATGTTCAAAACGAAAGAAAACAACAACAAACCCCCCCCCCGCCAAAAAAAAACTTATTTATGTAAGTCGTATTATAGAAACATTAATGAAAAAATTAAGGAAAAAAAGTTGTGCGTAACGTAGAAAAATGATTATAATTAAAAGCATGAAGAGTTAAAGTCCATCGAGATTTTTTGAAATATTTTTAAACTAATGGCAAAATTAAAAAAAGGTATTTCTTTAGAAGATTATAAAATGTTCTTCGAGAGACTTAGTAGTAATACTGCTGATTGCAATAAAAGTTGAACAGAACAAATTTGTTCCAATTATGGTTTTACGAGAGAGAACTTAGCATTTCAGAAATTAGACTATTCTATAACTGTCGATGAAATACCAAATACAAACAAGCACATTTTCACGTAACAAATTTAATTTGTCAGTTGTGACATTATTTGGAACAAGTAATTTATTGAATGTAGTTATATATTATCTAGCTATTTACATGATATAATCAACACTATTTTGTATTTAGGATTTTTCCTCAGGGTATTATAATTCAATTGCATAAAAGGGTCCGGTAAATGATGTTAATAACTTAACAGGAATAACGCTTATTGATTGTTTTTTTTATTGTTCATCACAGTCATATAGAATTTAAATGTTGATGCTGCACATCAAAGACGCCGCCAAATGATGTGAACAGTCAATCATACGGTGGCATAGAGGTGACATTTGCAGTTTTATTTTATCTCGTGGCCACGACTTATTATCTTGAGGCCTCAAGATACTATCTCGTGGCCACGACTTATTATCTTATGGCCACGACTTATTATCTTGTGGCCTCAAGATATTATCTCGTGGCCACGACTTATTATCTTGTGGCCACGACTTATTATCTCGTGGCCACGAATTATTATCTTGTGGCCACGACTTATTATCTCGTGGCCACGAGTTATTATCTTGTGGCCACGACTTATTATCTTGTGGCCACGATTTATTATCTCGTGGTCTCAAGATATTATCTCGTGGCCACGACATATTATCTTGTGGCCACGACTTATTATCTTGTGGCCTCAAGATATTATCTCGTGGCCACGAGTTATTATCTTGTGGCCACGACTTATTATTTCGTGGCCACGACTTATTATCTTGTGGCCACGACTTATTACAGCCAATTAAAATGGTCGTTTCATCTTGAATAAAAGTTAACGACCGTATATCACACTGGCCAAAGTGTCACAAGAGCGGCGGGTCAAACGCTGCAGCGTTGGATAAGGGGGACGTTTTATAGTTATTAGTGTACCCCTTTCTTCTTTTTTGTATGGTCAGGTGTTTTTTCATTTATCTTGCTTAAAGTTGATTTTAGAAAATATTGATAATTGTAACCCTGTTTCTTTGTAAACATAAAATAAAATTGTCTTGACTTCACATTAGATAAACCGTGCTCATCCTTGAATATTAAAATCACAGAAATTTATTTAAATCTATGATATTCTAACTTAATGCGTCCGCCATGAATAAAGAAATCAATGAACTATGTACAGGAAGCTGCGTTTTCTATAAAAGGTCAAGTAATCTTTACTTAAAAAACTGACATTACATATATTCATGGTTAACACCTATATTGTGTAGAATTTTAAACATAACATATCAACTATCTGTGAAGTCAAAACATTTTTATTTTATGTTTACATGTACAAAGGAACTATGTAACAATTATCAATATTTTCTTATATTAAATTTAAGTAAAGTATATAAGAAACACCTGACCATACAAAAAAAAGAATAATAATAATTATAAAACGTCCCCCTTTTTCACCGCCGCAGCGTTTGACCCGCCACTCTTGTAAAAGCTGTGGCAAGTGTGATATAAGGTCTTAGTGATATTAACTTTTGTTCAAGATGAAACGACCATTTTCATTGGCTGACATAAGTCCTGGCCACAAGATAATAACTCGTGGCCACGAGATAATAAGTCGTGGCCTCAATATAATAAGTCGTGGCCACGAGATGATAAGTCGTGGCCACGAGATAATAACTCGTGGCCACAAGATAATATCTTGAGGCAACGAGATAATAAGTCGTGGCCACGAGATAATAAGTCGTGGCCACGAGATAATATCTTGAGGCCACAAGATAATAAGTCGTGGCCACGAGATAATATCTTGAGGCCACAAGATAATAAGTCGTGGCCACGAGATAATAAATCGTGGCCACAAGATAATATGTCGTGGCCACAAGTTAATAACTCGTGGCCACGAGATAATATCTTGAGGTCACAAGATAATAAGTCGTGGCCACGAGATAATAAGTCGTGGCAACGAGATAGTATCTTGAGGCCTCAAGATAATAAGTCGTGGCCACGAGATAAAATAAAACTGCAAATGTCACCTCTATGCCACCGTACAATCAGCATTGACAATCGTTCTCTATTACAGTTGAATATCCGAAGCACAAATCATTTTTTTCTCCATGTTCTTGGTATGTGCTCGTTGTGTAATAATTAAGTTGCACGCGGCGTCTAATAAACACATCAAAGCATATTTTTAAATAATATCATTAGCTACATTTCGGATGCACACTTCACATTCCGGTGCGGGTTTTTTAACAGTTGATGTCAGTTATGTTATTTTTTATGTATTGTTAAAAATATATTAATTTATTGAAAACAAAAGATTATACAGTGAATGTTGTTGACGTTAATTTGATGACGTGTTTAATTGTTTGTTTTAGAAATGGTTGAGGTAAAAATGATAAATCAGGGGTTGGAGGAAAAATGCTTAAAGTTGTAATAAATATGTATGAAAATGTCAAATCACATGTTAAGTCATGAACATCGTACACAGATTTCTTTCATTATTCTGTGGGCTTCTGTCAAGGAGAGGTAATGTTCCGATACTAGTTTCTTTGTTTGTTGAAGATTCAGAGCTTTATTTACTAAATAATATTGAATTTGGATTGGGATTGAATGTAGAAGACATTGTATTGCTTATATTGCTTTTGTTTGCAGATGAAAGGGGCTATTTTAGGTTAATTTCCAGGAGATATTCAAACACATTTAGATAATTCATTTTGAGTCTAAAAGTTAAAACGTCCAAAACAATTGGTTTCGAAAGAAGGACCGATTGCGCCAAAATGAGTAATGGACATATGATGGCCATGATATAGAGGTAATAGACAATTTGAACTATTTGGGTACAGTAATTGTTTTACCGGTAGT